TGAAATCTCTCTTGTTAAGCAGCGGTTAAATGCAGCCTTCACAATCAAAGACCTTGGTGAACTGCGTTTCTTTCTTGGTCTTGAACTTGCTCGGTCCAAAGATGGCATTTTTCTATCTCAACGTAAATTCGCCTTAGAGCTACTTCAGGACACTGGTTATCTGGCTTGCAAACCTGCCTCCACTCCCATGGACCCACATTTGAAACTTTTCAAAGATAAGGGTCAACCTTTGACTGATCCACAATCTTATCGGAAACTTATTGGTAGACTTCAGTACCTTACTACCACACGGCCGGACTTGAGCTTTGCTACACAGCAGTTGAGCCAATTCATGTCCTCTCCCACTGATATCCACCTTCAGGCAGCCCACCGTGTTCTAAGATACATTAAATCATCTCCTGGAGCAGGACTTCTTTTCTCTTCTCAATCAGACTTGAAATTAAAAAGCTTCAGTGACTCTGATTGGGCTGGTTGTCCTGATACTCGTCGCTCAGTCACTGGTTTTGCCATCTTCCTTGGTTCCTCTTTAATCTCCTGGCGAGCCAAGAAACAAACCACAGTCTCTAGATCTTCCTCTGAAGCTGAGTACAGGGCTTTGGCCTCCACCACTTGTGAACTACAGTGGCTTATCTACCTTCTAAACGACTTCCACCTATCTCACATAGATCCTGCACTGCTCTACTGTGATAATCAATCTGCTATTCAGATTGCCTCCAATCCAACCTTCCATGAACGCACAAAACACATCGAACTTGACTGTCATTTGGTCAGAGAAAAGCTACAGGCAAAGGTTATTCATCTACTCCCAGTTCGGACAGCAAATCAACTAGCTGATATTTTCACCAAGCCTCTACATCCAGCCAGATTCCACGAACTTATTTCCAAGTTGGGCATGCAAAACATTCATGCTCCAACTTGAGGGGGGTGTTAGGGAATTAATCTGTTATTAAGTTAGAAACTAATCATGTATTCTGTTACCTTTCTGTTATATATTAAACATGTATATATACTTGGTTAAGCAGTGTAATAAAGTAACATTCATTTCCTCCACTTTCGGTCAGTAACAAAAACCGCACATGATAGGATGGGCAACCTCGGGATTTGGACGACTCCCCACCCAGAATGTGTGGTCCTTTTGGAGGAGGAGGGTCCTCCGATTAGCTCGTAGAAGTTTTCCTTTTCCAAGCCTGTGCTTAGCCCTTTTGTCCAAAAAAATATATATGGTAAGTATTCAGGAAAAAAAAAAGAGAGAAATGCATACGATGTATTGTGTATCAAATACTATTACAAATATTCCTTTATTTCTTGAGCCTACAGTGAGTTAACAACAGAATTCGAAAATTTCAAATCTTTGACGGTTCCATGTACATGATTGAGCTGCAAAAACTTCTAGATAAGTATCTTTTATCTGAACTAAATTTTTTCTGATTAAAGAATATTTTTTTACTTGCAAGAAATAATTAGGAGATTCTCTAGAAAAATTATGGGATTTCGTTTTTGACCACTGACTTCAAGCAAAAAAACTTAGTGGTAGTGACTTTTGCTAGAGAGATATATATACACAAACTTTTGACTATTATATAGTAAGTGAGCGTGCGATTTAATTAATTATTTATTGCTCCAACATATTCTTCTGGGAGTAATTTCAGGCATAGCTTTTTATGCACCGCACAGTATTTAACCATTTTTGCACTTGTAAATGTTTAATTTAATGAATTGTCAAATAAAACAACCCTCTAAAATAAATTGATAAACTTTTTTTTTTAGATTAACTTTTAAAAATATCTTTTTATATTCAAATCATGCTGTCAATAGACTCAAATCTATCATAGTCATATAAACTAACTCACTCTATAATAATACTCTTCTGATTCTAAATATAAGACTTATTTTGTAGTGTGGATTACACTATAAAATGTGTCTTATATTTAGGACTAGAGGAGTATTATCCATGATAGAAAAGAGTGGGATCTAATTTTACATACTATCAATAAAAAAACTTTTTTTAACTCATTCACATGCTAACCATGTTTGAAAGGATCAATCTCATATAACATAGTTATAAGACAACATATTGCATAGCTCATAAACTAAAATAGTGAGAATTAAATCTCGTCCATATTTTATAATAAATTCATAATAAACAAATCACATGTAATCCTAAATCTTTGGCTAACTACCAGCATGTATATCATAACAGAACAAATAAAAGAACACAAAAATACTACCTCCGGTATAATGCGTGAATTGATTAAACATAATTTGTTATAAGGTAGCAATTAATAAACAGGAAATAACATAACTCATAAATTGAGGAGTCGCTATAAGTCGCTAATGTAGCTTTACTTCTCCTGAGTCTTTCCTGATGTCCTTCCTTTAAAACTTTCATCTGAAAAATATTAAACAACCACGATGAGACAATGTCTCAGTAAGTAAATCCCTACCTATTACACAAACTAGCATGAGCTAGTGTGGTATCAAGTGGGATACACAAAATTAATAACAATCAATAAATATTTATTTAACAGTTAAACTCACAATGACTATACAAGTTAGATATTTTTGCTAGCCTCATGCAATTGATAATATAATAAGAGATCATGTATTTTCCATTAATTTGAAGTACACATAAATATCAATAAAGGTTCTATGTCATATGCATGCCTAAACCCAAATCCACTCTTATATCTTCCTTATTTCTATATCCATGGGCTAAGTTGTTTTGACTTGACTGGGTACTCTCACAAGCTCACCATATGAGTGATATGGACCAACCAAAGACTACAGAGCACTTAGTAGATCATGGGTCCCTCCTCGAAGAACCAGTGGGTGTTGTAGTCTCTCAAAGAACTAGTAGGACAATAACAGTGGCCAACCATAGAGCTCCGTATAAAGACTAATATCACATGGTAAATATATAGATCTTAGTAACTCCAATCATCTCATCCACCACCCATCTCAAATGCACATGATTCAAAACATTCAAGTGGATATACACATATACAGGAACATCAAAACTTTGACTCACGCATCACATTCCTTATATCAATTATTTTCAAACTCACTTTATTCAGTTCCCTTTAAAACAGTATCCCACAAGACAGCTTATGCAAATAAAAACTTTATATAAAAGAATTTGGTTATAAAAACCACTCTCCAACACATACCAGAGCATGCAATAGATAGAAATTCAATTAATTGGTCTCCTAGTTAGCAGTCAAATACAAATGAGACTCAAACTCGAAAATGCCACAATAAAGTTTATATCTATAAATGAAATTAAAACATTATCTCTAAGTATTAAAGTAAACTACTCACAAAGTTCTAGCCTCTAGCTCTCCCTCTAAGATTTTTTAACTATTACTCATAATTCTAACTCCAAAGGATTTTTCTAAGGTTTGGAATAGGAACATATATATAAAGATTTAGATTGAATTTCTAGGTTTTATTAACTTATATTATCCTTTAATTATTAAATTATATTATTAGAATCACCAAATTCACAACCTAGATTAAAAAAAACTCTCAAATTTATAACTTATGTTCTATTCTTGAAAACTCAGATAAACAGATTTAACATGAGTTAAGTTGTTCATACTAAAGGAGTATAACTATTGATCTCACCATTCAATTTAACATTTTAGATGTCATTAATCAATTCTCCAAATTGTATCTTGATCTAGCAGTAAACAAATTTGAAAATGATAATTTACTATTCAGAGTTTTATCAACAAAATCTGAAAAAACAAGTTTAAAGCATACTTAATAACTCGTTCCTCAAATATCAGATTGATGATCCAACCATTAAAATTGATAAGTTTGAAATCACAAATATCCTGGCTAAATTTTAACCTGATCCATCGGTTGACAAACTCGTAAATAACACTTGATTGTCTCAATTTTTTATGAAAATTTTTTGACTTATTCTTAACTCTCTTCTACTACCATGATACCACCTATATATATAGGCTTTTAGAGCTCAATCTCTCCATTTTCAGTTGATATGAGACTTCTTAATATCACTATTTTATTTATTTATTCATATATACACTTATACATATATATGATCATAATTATTTTAATAGCTTATATATATATATATATTAACCTTTGTAAGCTCAATCTTAATAAATATTTGCTTAAATTTTGAGGATAAGAACCAAACAAATAGTTCTGCTTTTTCCTTCCTTTATTTTTCAATTGAAGGTGAGATAAATGCTGGATAAAGATTTATGCATGTTCAATGTACATACATGCATTCCATTAGTTCGCTATTTCCTGATCAGTATAAAATATATCGGACGTAGATCTGCTTGGTATTTAAAAGCTTTCAATTAATTTTTCTTATTTTTTATTTTTCTTTTATTAAATTTTTAAGACTAGCTTCTGTAGATGATAAGAAAATAGTGCAGACGCAGATTAATTAAGGGTTCACATCCTTTAGTGTATATCATATCAAATATATATACATATGCATATTCTAAAAATCTATATAGACCTACCTTGAAATTCAATAATTCTGCAAAGAAAAAATAGCAATTCACTTTAATTTATAAGAGAGAAAAACGGTAAGGTCTCTAAAGATTGAATCAATCATATAATTAGGTTCTTGACAAAAAAATTTTAAAAATGAGTTGCAAATATTGTTTCAGATATAGTTGTAAATTGAAGAGCCTCAACTGGAGATAAGATATTTTAATTTCAAATGTAATTCTTAGTTTATAACTAGAATTTCGGTTTGCAACTGTTTGAATCGATATTTACAACTCACTTTTTTTTATTAAAAAAAAAGCCCTACTTGTCAATAATTCAATATTTTAAGATTTAAATACTGTTTCCCAATTCATAAAGATGACAACTTTTATTTTCCACAACTCATATACGAGCATCTAAAACATAGATACATAACATACGAAAGGAATGGGAACCCTCTAAAAGCCACAGGATTATTACAAAAATGAAAATGTTTAAATGGTGCAAAAAAAAGAAGCCAATAATCACTAGCTGTAATAATGATAGATTATGTCTTGATATATAGTGATACAACAAAGTTTGTGGATTGGTAATTAGGCTATAATTAACTATAACTGTATCCCAAGTTCAAATGCATTATGGCTCTTATTCTTTAAGAAAATGCCATGGTCCTGTTCCTGTTCCCATCCTGCAATAAGGAACATTAATTAAATAAATATTTTTGTAAATGGATCTATCATATTTCCCAAAAACAACGTTGTCTGATGATAATGAAGGTATCATAATGTGGGAAAAGTATACATATATACCTCCAAAAACCAGCAAGCATGCGAAGAGCCATATATATTGTCAAAGCAATCCAGATGCCAAGGAACCCTTTCATCTTACACATCACAAATTCTATTCCAATGCTTACAATTGAAACTATTACCTGATGTGCATATATCAACACAACGAACAAAATCGTACTTTCATTAATCTTAATACATTGCTTAGAGATACATTATAAGTTTGATTTGGTATGACTAAGGTTAAGGGTAAGTAAAAACTTGCCAAAGAAGTTGCAGCATACGTAAAGTCAGATGCTCCATAGTTGACTCCATCAAACACAAAAGCTATTGCATTGATTGGTTGCGTTGCTGCTACAAACTGTTCCATTCAGTTCAACATAACATTTAGTTGCTGACATTTGTACCATGATGGGTCCGCATTCCCTAGTTATCAATTGGATGAGCAGGGAAAGCGGATTCGTCCCCAGTATACTCATACACACACTATCCTGTGTATAAAAAAAAATATATACACGTAGAAGATATAACATGGGCACGGAGATTATTGAGTAATTATGGTGGAGAGATAAATTGAAAGAGACCAGTGAGATTGGGTTAGAAAATTGCGTTTCATTAGGATTAAGAATAAAAGAAGCATACGGGGAGGCCAATTTTGATAAGGTGGAGAACACTGAGGGTTTGGGAGAAGACGCCTGCTCCAAAGTGCAATCCTATTCCAACGACAAGAGATAGTCCTACTCCCATCACAAAAGACATCTGCACAATATCATATCAAACAACACGATCATTGGATATACCATATATTGAATCAAATTAATTAACTTAAGTGATAAATTAATTCATCAGTTTCTGAGATTCAAAGTTTCATCATTATTACTTGGAGAACCCTCACTGCTGCTGCTTTGGCCTTCTCATAGTCTTTCTCAGCAAAAGAACATGCTAGAATTGCCTGTCGTCCAGCAAAATCAAAGTCATTATCATGCTCCGAATAACTCATTACTACTCTTTCCGGTCTTGAATATAAAAGCTGATGACAAAATTTATTTTGATTCGAAATCTAAAACCTCAATTGACTTTGTTTTCTTTTCTTTTTGGCCAAAAAATTTACTTTGTTTTTGAAATTTATATTTTTTTCCCCAAACTATACATACTGATCACACATGTGAAGATGGTTTGCATCAAAAGGTAGTTCCAAAGCGAATGACTAAAGATGGTATTTTTAGAGAAACCAATACATATTTTAAACAAATAATGACTAATTTAACTAATTTTTTTTAACCTCTGCATTATCTAATTCTTATGTTAGGAACCAAAGCGAGTGTGTATGTATTTACAAGTTGGAAATAATATAACTCATTTACCTGAATTGCAACAGCTAAACCGTCAGAAAGAAGAGAAGAAGTCATCCAAACTTGTTGACAAGTTTGGAAAGCAGCCATTGTAATTGTACCCAATCTTGCTGCTAATGAAGCAGCAAATGTCACACAGAATGTTACTGCTATTACTCTTGCCAACAACAGCCCTCCTGCACGCACAATAATTGTAAATGTCATCAGTTGTTATACTAAAGTCATTCCTTGTATGGTTTCACTTTTAGTGATTTAAGGTTCTCACCGTTTTTAAGGAAGCGAAAGATTTGCAAATCCTTAATACTAGGAGGTAAGAGATCTACTTTTTTCATCAATATCAGCAAGAGAGCCAGTGCCATCAAGTACCTGAAGAAGTAGTGTGATATTAATATTATTCTTACAATTAAAATGGTCAAGATTATTTATTAGGGTAAAAGGATGATTATTAGGACTTACTGTGAGATGACATGTGCCATAGCTGCACCTTTGAGGCCAAACTTGCAGTAAAATATAAGTATTGGATCCAAACCCACGTTTAGAGCATATCCGAGCACTAAACATATATCAAATCAGACAATATAGAAATTATAGTACGTTCGCTTTACTAGTTAATTTAAGCCCAATATTATAAAAGAAATTGAACCTACCAATAACATATAAGGGAGTTTTGGTGTCCTTGAAACCTCGGAAGATTGCCTGCATAGCCAAAGCCAGAAGAACAGCTGGAGCCCCTAATGCCCTTAACTTCAAGTACTTTTCCGCGAGAATCAGCATAGCAGAGCCCTAATTAATTAACCAAATTCAAATCATTCTATTAACCTTACAGAACACATCTTTTGTGTGTTCTAGTCAATATAACAATAAACTTCATGAAAATTCACATTATCCACAAGTTAGAAGTTAAACAACATGATTTATTTCGTTAGATAATAGATACTACTTGTTTCGCACCCATTGCAAGTAATAGAGGTTTTGCAGCAAATATAAGGATTGACGCTTGAAGGAGGCCAAGGATTGTCCCAAATATTAATGCTGTTGATGCTGAAGCTATCTGCTTCTTTTTTGTCTTCTTATTCTTACTACTTGTAGCCATGGAAGAAGGCTTGGGCGTGTTCGTTTTGATATCTGATAATTCAGCAAATTTAAGTTTTAAGAGTTTAAATTTACAAATAAAGTTAAAGTTATTTTTATGCAAACTTCACTGAATAGATGACACGGTACTAACTAACTCTTACTCTTATCACTATCCTTGTCAACAGTGTCGCTCTCATCATCACCATTATTGTTATTATCATTATTCTCTTTGATGGGTAAACCTTTTTCAATGTCTGTAATTTTCTGAAGAGTATCTTCCTCTGCCACAAACGATGTAGTGACACTGACCAGAGGGAAAATGGTGATCCTTGAAGCTTGATTGAACAGGGTTATGGAAATTCCAGCAGCAGCAAGTTCCACAGGTCCTATTTAAGAATCATCAACAAATGAGAAACAATTTTTTGGGCAACACTTTTGATTTTAGTTTGATATGTATATATATACTTATCCAGAAGCATATGATTTTGAAGCTTACGTACGTACCTAGGTGACCTATGAAAGCAGTGTCAATGAGAGAAGCAATAGGATCAGCGGCCACAGCCAAAGCAGCTGGAAACGCAATTCCCAGTAATTCTTTACCAATTGAGTCCAGCTTCAACACTTTTCTGCACCCACAAACACATGGTAATAATCATAAGTTGGGAATAAGAACACAGTTTGAGATTAAATTGATCAGTGGACGATGATACAATCTATGACAGGTATGTGTAGATGGTATATACCTTGCATCTTTGAAGAAAACAAGGAGAGGCATCTTCCACTTGTTATTATTATCGGATACATGCACAGTACTGCCATGATTATTGTCTGCCATAAGATTCTAAAAAATAAAAAAAAGAGCTAAATTAATGTCCCAAAACACCCAGAATCAAAATGTTTGCATTTAATTTTATCAATTCAACCCATAAAGCGGGTTGGTGGGGACTAGCTAGCTAGCTTCATGCCCTTTTATTGCAGGCCAGCACAGTGATTAATTTAATCAGAAACTTTATCCTAAAACTATGGATGAGGTAGGAAGAAACAACTTTAACTAAAGCTATTACCCTAAAACTATGGATAAGGGAGGAGGAAACAACTTTAACTAAAACTATTGGATGCAGTATGAGGAAACGATATATTACAAATACATCAAAAAGTTCGAAGAGCTAGCTGAGAAGTAAGGCCATTTTCATGCATGCAAACATGCTGATCATCAATATGAAGAATTAAGAGGGATGAATGTGTATAATAAAACCTAATAAACAAACTCACACACACACAATAGAATATACAATTTAAACGAGAAATAATGAAACTTAATTACTTGTCAGCTTTATGCATGCTCATTATACACATATATAGATGGAAGTCATGGAACTAGCTAGCTTGCATACCTCTGATCTGTCCGCGTGTGTGTGTGTCTTTTGATAAATACAATGCTCTCAGAGAGTTTGAAGCTTGAACCCTCTGCTTTGAACCTAAGCTCCCCTGCTTTGCTTTCTAACCTCCCACAAACACACCACACACAACACACAGTATTTATAGAGACGCGTGCACACATATATAGACCCCTCAAATTCTCTTCCAGATACCACATTCAAATTTAAATATATTAAAGCTTGTACGTTATAAAGAGAGGGGGGAAGGTTCGTATCCCATGCGAGTTAAGTTCAAGATGAGAAGTATATAATTGCAAGTTGATGGAGGACTATAGTATTTATTATGTCTGATATACATTCACAGATTTAATAATCTAAAGCTTTCTCTGATGATCTGTTATATCGATGTTGGCTTGTAAGCATATAATATATTGTTCTACTTTAGGCTACAAAATAATAGTGTTTAATTTTCTTCGGAGTTAAAATTAAAGTCTGTGGTCTTCTTGTGGGCTTCGTAAGAATTCCAATATAAGCCATCACACGCAGAACTTGGAAACTCATCGGAATCAGTCTGACCTAATTTTTTGTGGTTTCGAGATATATAAACCTCACTATTCTTTTCTTTTTTGTGTAATAATTTATATTAACCTCACTATTAATGGGCATTATCCTCCTTCCTACGCTAGCTAGCACTTGCTCCTTGTCTTTCTCCTCTACGCATGGACTTGAGTTTGTTTTAGATTCACTTTGTGTATGCGTGCTTTTGTGTCTCTCTTTTTATTAAGATTAAAGGAGTGAAGATATGTGGTCATTATCATCTGACATGTCTTTTATTATAAATAGAAATCACTTTGGAGGACATAATGTCCCATACTGAAGGCCTGCTTTAATATATATATATATATAGAGAGAGAGAGACACACACACACACTTTCGTGTGGCTGCCACGAGCTTGCTGGGTTTTGCCATTTAAATAATCCAAATGTGTTTGTAATCGCTTTACCTAATACTTAATTTAAAGGAAACACACAAATCTAATTTTTATACAATTGTTTAGGTGGATTTATTTAAAACAATCAAATAAGATGTGATGCTATAGCATCATTATGTTAATAGATAATAAGAATTTATATATAAAAAGGAAGCCTATTGATTAGTTTTTAGATTTTACAAAAAAAAATTGTGTGTAAATGGGAACAATAAAACATCAATAGATGTGTGAATTATGACAAGAAAATATAGGGAAAAAAATACCTTAGAGTGGAAGAAACATGGAAAAATAATCAATCACTTTTTTTAATGAATGTTTTTATATCTTTTTAAGACATATTTTTAATAAGAGCCGTGTTGCCATTGTCATCAGATATTTTTATTCGCATAAAAAGCCAAAGTAGGCTGAATGATTGTGCCAAATTGAGCCATATAATATAATTTTGCGTGTGTGTGTATTATATTGAAACTTTCGCGTGGATGCCACAAGCCAGCAATATTTAATTATAGAAAAGTAATTAGGTGAAGTTTTTTATATTCATTATATCAGGTTCTTCTATCACAAATGATTATGTGTCCTATTTTTGAAATTTTATCATTTAATTAGAAAGACACATTAAAAATGGGATACAAATATTTGTGATTGGAGAATTTAATATAATAAATATGAGAAATACTTTTTATTTATAATATATATTGAAAACAAAAATAGGGAAAGGATCTTTTTTGAGAGAGTAAAGGTGAGGTCAGAGGTGACAAATTAAAACAAGCACACACATCAATATTGTCCACATATCCTAAGTACCTCTTTTTTATTTGGGCGCACACTAAAGAAAAAATAATTTGGGATGATTATGATGCATTTTTTGACAATTAATAATGTGAATGCTGTTTCAGATTAAAAATTATTGGATGCTTATTATCTATATACTACATCTGATTCCTAACATAAGAGCTAAATAATAATGCAAGGATGTTAAAAAAATTAATTAAGTTACTTATTTGTAATAAATATGTGTTAGTTTTCATAAACTATACTTTTTAATCATATCCACTAGTGTTACTCTTTTGTGAAAACCCTTACAATCAATAGAAATAATTAGAAAAAGAATTGTTAATTTGGGAGACAAAATAAATTATGATCTTATATTTATTATCAAATTCTACCATCAATTAGCTTTTATACTAACGATCAATGGTTTTATATTTATTCTCAAATTCTAACATCAACTAGCTCTTATATTAAAGATTAGAGTATAATATAAAATATTAGAAGCCTCATTCATCATAAATATTGACTAACTACTGTTAAAATATCATATATTCACTCTGTTATGATCAAATTAGATCAAATATTTTGGCCAGCCATCTTAGCATGTCATTAAAATGGGCCGGTGAATATAGGAATGATGGGTGTGAATACCTTCTGGTGTTTAAAAAGTTCTCTTTAAAAATTTATGTAGTTTAGTACCTTTTTTTTTGGAAAAAAAAAGAAGCCTATTATTGTAACCATTCACTGAAAAGTTGTTAACAATGGCCTGTGATTGGGGGGGAAAAATTCTTGATGACAAATATTTTATTTTTCATTTTTAAAAAACAAGATCTTAACAATATATATTATATATTCTTCGTTAAGATGCAAATGTCATTTTCCAAATAGTACGCCCACAAGCAAAACCTTAACCATGGTGTCACTTCTTATTCCGTTGGCAATGAAATGGCAATTTATTGTCAAACAATTTCAACTTGGCAAATACATATTAATTATTATGTTAATTAATCTAATATGGTGATAATATGGGTTAAAATATTTTACTAGCTAACATGAAATATAATACTGTTTTAATACTAAATATAAGAAATACACTAAAATAATTTGAATAAATTAAAGCAGATGAAATGTTGGAAAAAAAAAAAAAGAGAAGTTAAACAAATTACTTAATTGTAATAAATGTAACATGATCTTTCTAAAATAGTCTTATATAATATTAGATTATATATCAATTTTGGCCTCGCCCGTTCTATCAATTGCCAGGTCATCCACTCCAGGTTATCTTTTTGCTGCATATAGGTAATATGCTTGGAGAGGTCAATATACTTGGCAATAAACTCATCTTCATGCATGTTTTCCTATCGAAGAGCATAAAAGGTTGTTTCTTTTTCTTGTCTCATGGCTGGAGGAAAATAGTGATCAAAGAACATCTGTTTGAATTTTATCTAAGTAACCCCCAAGTCATCGATGCGGCTCACGCTCCTCCACCTCCTCTTAGCTTGGTTCCTCAATAAGACCACCACTGCTTGTATCTTTTGATAAGTATTACAACCACAAACTTTGAATATTGTCTCCATGTCATCGATCCAAACCTCAACTTTATTAGGATCCATACCTCCATCAAAAGTTTTCCGGTGGTGCCGCTCTATGTCTTTCCATACACTCTTAAGGTTCATAGTCTCTTCTTTTTCTTGTCGCCCTTGTGAGCTACTCTCCTTTCTGGTTCCCTCAACAGAACCCCCACAGGTTCCAAAATTACCCATAGGTGGCTCAAGAAACCCACTCTCTTCGAACTCTTCCACAACTTTCTTACTTCTCAAGTCTTCCTTCAGCTTCCTTACCCTGTCATCTACCACCATAACTACCAATTTCCTTAGCTGTTGCAGTAAGGTTTCTTGGTTAAACTACAGAGGATTCGGTAGATGATTAAGCGGGTTTCTGAATTCATCCCCATCCTGATCGATTTGTCAGGATCGAGTCTGTACCATCCTCCCAGCCTAAAGATGGAACCCATCAAAAAAGAACAAAAAAAGTAATGTCAAGCACAGACATAAACTAACAGGGAAGGTTATGTGAGATTATTATATATTGCCACTGAATGCAATGTAATGCAATCCAATTCACAAAATCTTTAGCTCTGATACCAAAATGTGACGATCGTTCTTTCAAAATCCATTTAGATTAAATCAAATAATTTATTCCAAAGATTAACCATAATAGAAAAGAATAAATCTTAAAATTATAAAATCACTATCATGGTTAAAAGAAATAAACTTATATCACGAGCAACATCGATCATTAACTTGGGTCTAGAACTTTCAAAGTCTAGAAATAACATTTAACCATTAGCCCAAACTAAACGCATACTTTCAAACATACAAACTGATAAATCATTTAAATTTAAGCTATGGAGTCAATTAGTCAAAAGTCAACACTTTAAAAGAGCGTCACATGCAGAGTTTTAGAGGTCTCTGTCCTTCTAACGGCCCTCTCATATCAAATAGTAGTAATTAAAAGTATTAGTTTACAATATCAGAGTAGATAAACCCTATGTGACAATATATAATAAATCAGCACATAAAACAAAAGCAGGGAGGTTATACAAGCTATAACAGTACACTATACCTCCGGAGCCTTCTCTAATAGACCACCACCTGAACTATCACCTGAAGATAGTAGAAACCAGGGGATGAG